TGTGAGGATCCCTTGAGCGAATCACAGATTCGAGTTCTCAGAGCAATCAATGGTAGCCTTAATTGGCTAGCATCTCAGTCACGCCCAGACTTGGCGGTGCAGACCAGCTTGTCGCAACAAGCATTTCCACGACCTACCATCCGACACCTCAGAGATGTGAACAATGCAGTGCGTCGAGCCAAACTCAATCGTGACCTCCAAATCCGCTTCAAAACTATTAGTCCTGATAGGTTGACAATATGCTGTCATTCTGATGCAGCCTTTGCAAATGTAGGCACCCATACTCAAGCTGGTTACATCCTTGCTTTCGTAGATCAAGACATGAATAAAGGCAAGCTTGGCCCATGGACCCCAGCTGTATGGCGTAGCTATCGTATGAGTAGAGCGGTAAGTTCAACATTAGCTGGAGAAAGTCAAGCAATGGCCACCGCCAGTGGGACAGTAGAATGGCTGAGCCTACTTTTGTGTGAGGCCTTAGATGGACATTTCGATCCACGCCAAGGCCGTGACCTGTTGGCCAAGCGACCTCCTCTGTATGCAACGGATTGCAAATCTCTGTTCGACCACCTGATATCACCATCTTCACCTACAGCGGTGGAAGACCGTCGAACGAGTATCGACATCGTGATCATTCGAGAGTCTCTGTTGTTGACAAATGGAGTGATTCGTTGGCTTCCAACAGATCGAATGCTTGCTGATGGTCTGACAAAGGACCGAGCGGATCCAGTTGATCTTCTAAGATCATGTGTGAGAGCTGGATCCTACCAGATTTCTCCAGAAGCTCATGTCCTCGAGCAACAAGCCGCGGAGAGAGAACTTCGCCGCCAAAAACGACAGCCCGAAGCTAAGGTCCCCGATGAATTAGTGACTAGCATCCAAACTCCCGAAGAATAGACTTGGCAAGACGACCTTCGGTTCCTTGGGTATACACACGTTTTGAAAACGAATGTCAGGGAACATTGTTTTCGTGTGCGCAGGTTTTGAGTGTCGTGCGCTTAAAAGAGTCATAGTCAGTCACTGTGTTTGCATGGTTTTGTGCGTAAGTCATCTGCCGAAGCAGTTTTTGACCTAGTCAAGGTCTTGTGAAACAATAAGATCTTGCTTGTGATCCGTGCTCCGGAGCCCCTTTTTGTGTGTGATGGCATGGAATGCCAAAGATCAGAAGCAGCTAGAGGAGCTGCTACGCAAAGCTCACAGCCAGGGTCTTTCCCTGTCTCAGCTAGGACTCCCTCAGATTTGTGCCACATCCTCCGAGTTCGACAGTGAATTTTCCTTTGTTGAGCCTACTGGAGGAACGATGGCCGACAGCTGCAAGCGCCGAGATGAGGGCACCGATGAGAATCCGTTCACCAAAAAGAGTGCCTTGAGTCTAGATGCACTGGACTCAGTTGAAGGAGGTGGATACACCTTCAAGTCGCTGGAAAAAGAGTTCGGGTCATCTCCTCTGACCCATCGTGAGGTGGTTAACACCATGGATAGCACAGAGCTCCCATCGCTCCCAGCGGGAGTTCCGGACGTAGCCACCTGGGGAAAGACACTGATTAAGTTCGGTCAGTTTGGCAAGCAGAACATGACCTACTATGAGCTCGCTTCCAGTTCAGAAAGCCGCTGTCAGGGTTACAAATGGTGTAAGGATCATGGAAAAGGTGCCAAGGGACATCTCCGCGACCTCGTGGACTATTTGAGCCATTATGATGCTGCTCACGGAGTGTCTCAAGCCCCGATCATCCCAGGCGAGAGAGTTCAAAGCATGAGATGACGGTTGATTGAGACGGCTGGATAAACACTGGAAGAGAAAGAAAAGTTTGGAAAGATTATAACCAGTGTTGACTTTGCACAGGAGCTCCATTCGTGTCTCGCAGGGACCATCGTTGCCTCAAGCGGTGAAAATGATGCGCCCGGTTGTCTTGGATAGGATTCCCAGCTACCTCTGTTGAATCAACATATGTATGTGTTTGTGCAAGACTGCGCGGTGAAAATGGACGACCAACAGAATCCTGTTCGTCCAGGTACCACAACCGCGCCGTGCGGTCGTCCGAGGCAGAGAGGATCCGCCTTCCCTGACCAAGGTGCAAATCATTTCACTTTGGGCCATTCAGGCTATCAAACAGACCAGACAGACACGTCATATTACACAAATGGTGTCACGTATTTTTGCTCTGGCTTTAGCAAGACACTTTTGCAACAGTAGTGCAATGAGCCCCATTTACTCTGATTGCTAGATGGTACAAAAAGCTTCTGTTTTGTTGTGAACTGGATCCAACCCCGCCTCAGGAGCAAAGGCTACCGTGTGCACCCCCGCTGAGTGCCCGTGGAAGGTTGCCAGCACTGCACCAGTCCTTGGAACCCAAGGCCGTAAGTTAGGAATGTTCGAGAGATTGTCCTAAACTAGGCAAAAACATGTAAAGACACGCACTTTGCATTGCTGTTTGGTCCACTCTGTGCTGTATTGCACCAGAACGCCATTGGCTCCAGCTGCCACAAAGCACCTTCAACCGGCTTCCAACACGTGAAGACGGACGGCCAGTTTGGGGCTAAGAGGGCTTCATATCAAGCTGTGAGACATAGAGACACCAGGGCAGCAAACATGTTCAGCGGTCCTTGCTACTAGTAGAAATGCCCTTTGTTACTAGTAGCTTCTTGCTCCTAGTAGTAATGCCAGGAACTACTAGTAGCGTCCGTGCTACTTATTCGAAAATGTTTGTTCAGCGGTTTCGTATTGTGCCATCTACTCTCCATCCACGATATGTTTCTTCTATGTGTCTGATTGATTCAAACGGGGCGTTTCAATGCCAGCCTTCCATCCGGGCCAAATGCTACTGAACGGACGCCACGTTCGAAGGCATCCGGGTGTTCCAATGCCAGCAAGCAGGATCCGTCCTGCGAAGGATGGAACGTTTGGTCCAAGAACTTGCGCAATATGTGAACAAATCAATATGGACATATGGACTACATATATACCTGGATTATACATATATAAAATAAATACACTGTTGGATTCAACAAAAAACGGAGTCCCCACCAAGTCCGACCGAATCCTGTAAGCGCCAACACCTCACCGTGGAGTCATCGGAGGCCGACAGCAACTTTGTACCGTCGGGCGACAGGCGCATCTGCGCAATGGCCCTGGAATGCCCTTCCAAGAGCTGACAGCTTCCATCCTGGATACAATGGTGCAGCTGGGAAAGGGGAGGAAACATAACGAACCATGTAGGCTTCTGCCAGAATCCCACAAAAATCTATGCACCCATCGAAGTTCATCACTTCCACTCCTCCAAGCACCAACTTCGAATCGTCCCATCAGCACTTCCTGTGATAGCCCGATTTCCACAGCGCGACAAAAGCACAGCATGCACCGCACCGGAGCTGCCTGAGCAAGTTGCAGGTTTTCGGGCCACACGAAAACAAAAGACGATGCAAAAGGCGAATGAGGAATTCAAAGGCGTCTCACGTCTGCATTTGTGCCAAGGCATTGGGTTGATCGTTCCCAGGGCAATCAAATGATCTGGCATTGACATCGACGAGATGCATTGGGATCACGAAACAGGCTTCTTATGGTTTCTTGTCATGTTCACCTCAAATGAAATCATCCCATCACAATTCACGCCCACAACTTCTTGCTGCCTGAAGGATTCAAGTGGAAAAGACACTGGCCGGTGTCAGCATTCCAAACTCGTGCACTTCCATCCTGTGGCCAGTGCTGATATCGAAGCTCAGTCTTGTGCTTGTGAATTAGAGGAATTACCTGGCAACAACAACATGTTGATACTCAACTGCTACCTGGCAGTTCAGAGTTCAGGGACCGGGAATTCAATCGTTGTCCGGATAGCCTGACTGGCAGTAATAACTTCTTTGCCAGGCGCAATCAAAGCCACCTGCACAACACCACCTCAGCTGTTCGAGGTCAGCCAGAAGTCTACTACAACTGGCTGGCCATCACCAGAAGGACACAAGTTCCATCTGCAGCGACGCCACCATCTTCCAATTCTTCTCCAACAATCCCTTGCTCCTGGCAGTGGAGACAGCTTCAGAAACTTTGGCAGAAAGCCCAACTGGTTGAATAGTGAGAAAGCATCGGGTACCAGTTTGCCCACAAGTCTTGGCAAACGTGCTTCCCATTGGTTTGACCTTTATAGTTCATGTGGCACTCATGTGTGTCTCCCTGTTTGTTTCACTTTGAGCCATCGTAAGACCTGACAAGTGCCCACACGCATTAGCTTCTTGTTACTAGTAGCTACTTGCTCCTAGTAGTACGGCCAGGAGCCCCTAGTAGCGTCCTTGCTCCTAGTAGTACGGCCAGGAGCCCCTAGTAGCGTCCTTGCTCCTAGTAGCGATGCCAGGAGCCCCTTGTAGCGTCCTTGCTCCTAGTAGCGATGCCAGGAGCCCCTAGTAACGTCCTTGCTCCTAGTAGCGATGCCAGGAGCCCCTAGTAGCGAACATTGTTACTAGATTGAGATAAGGCATGAAGAAGCGAAGAAACAACTCTGTGTCCACTGCCGTGAAGCAAAGCTGGCCTTCAATGGGCCCGAGTCATGCAGAAGATTCACCAAGTGTGGTGCAACACCACAGGCCTTCAAAGAAAGCATGCGGGATTTAAGGATGACTCTGGGATGATAAGTTCCACAATGATGTGGCAGCTTGACTACGAAAGGAGCTCAAACAAGCTCAAACACCAGCAGCAGTGAAGTTTCTTAATTCACATTGTCCGTAGTTGAGTCTGTCCAGTCTTGAGGCAATGCCAGTCTTAGTGCACCAGCAGCCAGACCTCTGCCACTTTGAATCGCAGGCTACGCAGGGAATCGGCTCCGGACATCTGCAGCGATCCAACGTCCAGATTTCAACGAAAGTTTGAAGACCTGCCTTCTTGTTACTAATAGCTTCTTGCTCCTAGTAGTAAGGCCAGGAGCCCCTAGTAGCGTCCTTGCTCCTAGTAGCGATGCCCTTTGTTCCTAGAAGCGTCCTCTTAAGTCCTTCAATACCTGCCTTTTCTCATCAGAAAACATCTGCTCTCCACGACTCACCTCAAGTAGAGGGAGCTCCTCACCGGTGAAGGCCATGATCGCCTTTAACGTCACCACCATCTTGCGCTGGTAACAATAGCCGTCACTGTGACAGCTTTGTCGGCTTTTGCAAAGGAATTGTGTGATACAATCACTGATATGACTGGTAGAAGGAAATGTGGTTTCGAATGCATCTGGGTGGCACAAGCGTGGGCTCGATGAACTTGTTCAATCACTGTTGTTTCTTAACACATCGAAGTTGCGCGAATCTGTCATCCAATGCATGGCTTCCAAACATCTTTGGCTATCTGACTAGCAAAGCGCCGAGGCCAATGGGGACCAAACTACCAGAGCCGCACAAAGGTCCAAAGGCTCTGACTAGTCAGAACGGCACAAAATCAAAAGCGTCATCGTTCTAAGGTCAGCGGAACAAAACAGCGTGTTAGAGAGAATCCGCCAAAAACGTGTTTGTGTATATGAACAAGACTCGATCAGATTCAACAATCCAGTTTTCCTGTCGCGGCCATTGCCAAACTGACCTATCAGCTTCGCTGATGATCGTAGGTACAAATCGCGCATTGACTTGGCACGTCACAGCTGCCTCAATGGCCTTCCAATCTGGAATGTTGGGCGGGGTCATTCATTGTCAAGAAGAACACTCACAACAGGCTGACAAAACATGCTGCCTCACTGTACATGAATTAGGAATCAGGATGCTCTAAGAAACACCTTTGAGAGGTGCGTTCCGGCGCTCCATTCTGGCAAAAGTCAGGTGCGCCACGCCTTTGGAGTCTGCCTCATCTTGGCGCAGGACTCGAGCTGCCACCTGCCGTGTGTTAATTGATGGCGCTGACTTTCAGTTTGTTTCTTCCTTGGCCAAGTTCCACCCCTTTGTGCTGGGCTGGCAGTTTCCCGCAAATGCTTGCTTAGGACCTTAGGAGTTTTGGGCATTACAGTAACAAGAGTTCCCAGTCCCACTGTCTTCGTGCCTTGAGTTCAACATGCTGATCATACCGAAAACCGAATAAGCAAAAAATCATGTCGGTCGTCACTTGGGGCCGGTGACCCTGAAGCCAAGCTCTGCCTGAATGGTCAAGAAAGAGACAAGTCGTTCATCCTCCACTCGTGGAATTCGCTCATGCGATTGGCAAGGGACCGTTTCCATTCAGAGTCAATAGTTTGCTTTACTTTGCAGCCATTTGGAATAGGGGCAAGGCCTTTTTTCAACCCGTTTTGGGTTCTATTTTGACTGTTTGGTGGAGGGCCGGAGGGTCAAGGTTATTTTGGACCCGTTGAAGGGTTCTTTCTTGACCCGCTTTGGAGCTGTTTTTTGATCCGCTTTAGGGTTCGTTTTCGACCCGCTTTAGGGTTGTTTTTTGACCTGCGTTAAGGTTCTTTTTTGACCTGCTTTAGGGTTGTTTTTAAACAGAATGGGTGCTCCTGGGAGATGTTTTTTTGTGCAAGAAGTGATCAAAAACACTGGTTTTCAGCTATTGCCAGGCCTATAACAGCTTTGAGGGAATACTACAAAGCCAAAAGAACAAAAACCAAAAGAACAAAAAACAACAGACCAAAAAATAAAAAACAATAAAACCATAAAAACCAAAAAACAATGTTTGAGACAAAATAGGAGCACTATAGGAGTTGGTTTTTGTTATTTTTGGTTTTTGGTGTTGCCTCCATTTTGTCTCAAACTTGGTTTTTTGTGTTTATTGTTTTTGGTTTTTGAGCGTTTGTATTTTTAGTTGTTGGTTGTTTGTTTTTTGTTTTTACCCACCTGTCAGGTGAGGTCCACGCCCAGTGTTCCCTGCCGGACCTCAACCGCGAAGTGTTCCCCACCGGACCTCAATTCCCTGCGGGCCTCAACCAAGACCATCCGCTGCCGGACCTCAACCGCGAGCTCCAGGCCCAAGTGTTCCCTGCCGGACCTCAACCACAGCACACAACCACAATCACAAACACAACCACAAATGCAATTTGTCTCCCAGAAAGCTCTGGATGCTCTGAGTGCTTGGCCGCACGATCACACTTGTCTCCCATTTGTCTCCCACTTGTCTCCGAGTAAGCTCTGGATGCTCTCAGTGCCGCATGATTTTATACTTGTCTCCCATTTGTCTCCCACTTGTCTCCCAGTTGTCTCCCAGTAAGCTCTCGATGCTCTCAGTGCTCTGGCCGCATGATTTCAGGCTTGTC